AGTCGCTATGCTCATATTGGTTTTTATATATGACGAAAATAGCGAGTAAGTTAAATTCTCGACGCATAATCAATGGCTACTAGAATTTATGAAGTAATGTTTAAATTCTTGAGCATGCGACACTCTTGTTGAGAAGATCAATCAACAAAACCACCTCCTACCGAAAATTTTTTGCTTCGTTTGCTTTTGAAGATAGGTACAAATTTATTTACCTTGTTAAGGAAAATACGAAACAAAGGAGCGATATGATAAGAAATTTGATGTAGAAGAAGCTTGAATAAAGTTCCATTATTAAAAGGGAAGAAGGATAATAATATCAAAATTTCTGAGTAAGAGAAAAATTATATAAAATGTTCAATGTTTGAAATACTCTCAAATATTTCATACTGAAAAATATAGAAAACGCTCCATTCCCTATTTAATTCCTTAATTACCGTTGGCATCTTTTCATTCTATTTGCAGTATCGAAGTAATTTGTGTTGTGGTAGCAATATACAGTGGCTTGTCAGATTCGATTTGGAGCATTTCATCAGCTGTTATTAATTTAGCAACAATTATACTTTATGTAATACTGAGTCGAGTTGTAGTGAAGGCTAAAAGAAGTAAGCTGTTTAATTAACTAACAAAAGGCATGCAAAGTAAAGTAACAACTTAAACGGTGCTTGTCCTATTTCCTTATCATTGCAGCACGTCTACATGTTACCGCAATAACCTTAGCCTCGCACCTTTACTTTTCAAATGCTGTCACTTCTATATTAGTGTCATATCTGTCAAGATTTCATGAATAACTGAACACTGCTGCATTTCTAATTTCAGCAACTAAGAATATCGAGTTGTTGCAAACATTAAAGATAGTCGTGATATTTATTGGACTGGGACAGCTAGCATCAACGTTGGTCTACTTATCAACACTTTTCTACGAGTTTTCCGAAATGACATCGTTTTACATAGGATGCTACGCGGGAATATTTGTTAATTTAAGCATTTCATGCAATTGGTTCTTCTATTATTGGAGAAGGTAAAAATTGATCTTATAAAACATCAAAAGAAATATTTTTTTATCGCTGAAACATTTTGCGCTAGAATTAATTGGTTAAATCTACAACTGTGAACACAAAAAATGTTATTGCAGTGTCGAATATCGGAACGAATTTAAAAGGCAATTCAGGAAACTTCTATGCTTAGAGAATGTAGTACCGTTGGAACCAAAACCTACAATAAAGTGGGTGACGACAGTTCACAGGTAAAACATCAGGAAAATTGCTTCTGAGTATCTTGCTTCAACGATATTCATACAGAGTGCTGAACAAAAATCAGGATTAGTTGGAAATATTGGTGATAGTTGTTGTTACGGCCGTCCGTAGCTTCTCACGTAATTACGTAGCTCACGCAGCTTTTCATGTCGGTCCTTGAAAATTGACTGAATAAAACTCCACTTTAGAAAGCAATGGGAAACGATGAATGTCATATAATGTGTGTGTTTCAGACAACTTTCGCATTTTTTCATTTTTTCAAATTTAAAAGGCCAGTAAATAAACCTTGTTTCCGGCTAAAAGTTGAGAAACGGAACAACTGGGAATGAAAAATCCGGACACTGCTTCAGATCTGATTTAAATGAACTGGACAGATTGTTTTCTTTTTAATTGGAAATGATTTTAACAACTCTTGCAATATACCATAAGATATAATTAATTGAGCTTAATTTACTACTTAATTGAAACTTTTATTGTCAGTTCTAATCTTCGAGAATGCTAGTCATATATTTATTTCCCTCTTCTCCAGGACAACAATTAATTAAATCATATTTGGGTTTTTTCTTCTTGAAAAAAGTTTTAATTGAAATAATTTTACGCAATTGAAATTTTTTCAAAGTTGCACGAATTATCCAAAACAAAAAATTTTTTCCACAACCGGAAGGAAATGGATATGTACTTACATTTGCACTTTTTTCTTCAATCTGTTTATTAGTTACTGGTTGATAATGATAATGATGTCTGCAAATGGAAGTGGCGAAATGTCTATCATTTAAGAAAACGTTTATTTATTTTCCGTTTCTCAACTGAAATGGAAAACATCAATTTCAGGCTTACTAGCCATATTGGTGTGAAAAAAAAGAAAGAAAAAGAAATAAAAAGAGCAAAAGATTGAAATTATATTTTGAAGCCTATTTTTTAAAGTTGCTTTATAACCTCAAATTTGTCATTTTAAATGTCAATATTCTTTTTGACTATTTCGTTATTTATATCAAATGAGCAATTTTTTCCCCACATTTCCTTTTTCTCCTTTTCTTTTTAAATGATATAGTTTATTGTTAAATTTGATTTGTTTTAGTCCCTCTTTCATCCTTAAACATTACGCGCAAATATGTATTCAAGATATGAGAAAAAAACAAAAACTTTTTTTTTTAAACTGTTTTTGAGGAATACATTAAAACCTTTACTAAATAAAAAAATTTTTTCACGAGATATTAATTTGCCCTTAATTTAAAACATATATACTATGTAATTTATGCAACAATTGGTGTTGTTGCTATTATTGCTATTGCCACTGTTATTGTTGTCATCGTCATTGTCATTGTTGTTAATGTTGCTATTGTTACTATTGTTGCTATTGCTGTTGTTGTTGCTGTTATTTTTATTGTTGCTATTGCTGCTGTTGTTGCTTTTATTTTTATTGTTGCTATTGTTACTATTGTTATTGTTATTGTTGTTGTTATTGCTGTTGGTTTGAAACAGTCTTCATGAACTTCATGAAACTGAAAATTTGAAGCGCAGAAAATTAAATTTAAACACAGTCAAAAATTTATGAATATGTACACTACAAAGTCGTAAAAAAAGTATAATAAC